TCTGCTAGCAAGAAGCACGAGGACAAGTGTATTGGAAGTCACCACTACCGAAGTCGGCCTTGTATTGGAAGTCGGGGGAATTGTAAGATAAACTCATATAAATCGGATATTTCATAATTTTTACGATAAACATGTAAACTATTTATTTATTAGCATCGCCTGAGTCATGGTTTAATTTTAGCTCAGCTGCCGTTTAGTATACCGCACATTTTCGGTGACGATTAATGTGTTCTATACTTTATCTGTCGTGATAACTTAACGCTTTAAAATTCCCGGTACCAAAATGAGAACGGAAGTGAAAACATTGGTATCGGTATTGGTATTGGAAGTCGAACTTAAACTCTCTATTAACAGCACAGGGACGTATTCATCGTTAATTAGGTTCTTGTGTCACGCGGAGAAATAGCTAAAAAATGCAAAAATTGTCAACTTCCTGATTTCTTAGAAATGCAATGTGCCGCAAATTTTATTGCGTAGATGTATGGAATAGCATCCTATTTCAAAGTTTAAAAGCGATTTAGAACCTGGGCAGGTGCCACAAATGAGAATTCTGCAATGTTTAGGACCTATAATTCTCGAATTTGATATCACATGCGTTGAAGTGTCTCGATCACTAAAATTTTTTTATTTGCCAGGTGCAACTAAACAGCTATATATTACTGTTTCTTAGTAGAAAGAGCACTCTAGTGCAGCTCAGACCCGAAAACGAAGCTCCTGATTAGCAGAGAAAATAGAGAAAGCGGACTGTGATTGTAGGCTTTGGCGATTTCAGAAACCGGCATATTTTAATTAACTTGGGTCCTGGGACAAAAACTCGCATAGCGGTTGTAAAAACCACGTTAGAACGATCTTAACTCCAGTTTCGTTGTTGGGATAGATGAGAGTATCGACGGTAGAAATATAAGAGAAATCTATTTTTGAAGCCCAGATCGAGTGGTCCGCTCTTACAGAGACGCCCTCTTAAACGTACACACCTGAAATACCAACACATTGTTTCAACTATTATAGGCCCACTGTGAAATGGTCCAACCTCACTCCAGCCGACATCTCTGCAGTAAAAACCCAACGAACTAAAGACAATGTGTACCTCCCTAGCGATAAGGGCACATAATTCTGTGTTATTGATGAAACCAGATATAATATCGCGGCTGAAATCCATCTTCAAGATCCCAATACCTACAAAAACATCCCACGGATGACTGCGACCACTGTAGAAAAGAAAATTAATAAGACATGGAAGGATATATGCAAGAAGAGGAATATCCCTAAGCGCATAAAAAACCGTTTCGTATCCTCAAACAAGGACTTGCCACGGTACTACTAGTTGATAAAAACACATAAGATCAACCAAGCAATTAAGACTCGTCCCATAGTCTCGACCAACAATGGTCCAACTAAAAGAATTTCATGGCTACTATTTTACATTTTGAGGCCTATTAAAGCTTAGGAAAGTACCAGCACACTTGGAAAATAGTATGTCGCAAATCAATAAAATACAATCTTTGGACGTGTCAACTAACGAATTTCCGTATCCTTTCAGCCTAAATGTAGTGGCGATAGTATTCATGGACACGATCGAGAGAAAAACCTTAACTGCATGTCAACCAATCGGCTTGTAAAAACGGTATATGGACGATCCTTACTCGCAAGCTAAAGACGAATAAAGTGTTGAAGAAATTTACATCCACATGAACCAGCACCCGGACAAAATTAATTTTATTATTAATTAATTAATTAATTAATTATTATTTATTAAATTAAATTTATTATTAATTAATTTTTTTATTATTAATTTTATTATTAAATTTGAAATGGAGAAACCCACCCGAACGGAAGATGGTTGGTCTCTATCCTTACTTACAAACTCATCAGACCATACTCTTTTTATATTTCGTCGGTTTTTAACTTCTCCGTAATAACCTTCAATCTAAAAGCGAACGGTGGTATTTGATTTTTCCTGGGGAAATGCGGGTTGAAGGTTATTACGGAAAAATAAGGACCGGGTACCAGGACAACCAGGTTATTACGAAAAAGTAATAACCAGGTACCAGGTTATTACGACAAAAGTGGGTCACTAGCAATTTGAAAATCCTATAAGGGAGTCAAGCATTTTTGGTTGAGTCAGATTATTAATTTACCCACCCGCCCCCCTCGATAAATAATGATGGGTCCCTTATTCACATTTGCCACCATTTCTTTAAACTGTATTGTGAAAAATATAATTATGGTGAAAGATTGAGTTTCAAAACTCAACTGAAGATTAAGTTTTTGCTTGTAGAAATCCCTGCTTATATAGCAGGCCTGCAAATTAGTGTCGGTCATCGGACATTGTCCGGCCAAATTTTACATTTTGTCCGACCAAAGTTTTTTATGACCGGACATGTGACCGACCGATTTAGACTGGTCAAATCTCCAATCTCAAAAAATTGTTTATTTAACATATTTTTTATTAATGAAACCAACAAGAAAGCAATATAGACAGCACTTCTCCACTATTAAGCCGTAAGATTTAATTATAAATCTACATCGACATTCGTATATAACATGGTAGAAATTAAAGTTATGTATAACCTTAACTACAGTATAATTTACTGAAGCATTAGGACTGGTAGCGATATACTCAGTTTTAGATGCATTGCACTGCCGACTAACATGACCAGGCAAAGAAAAAAAATAGTTTATCCATTGTCCGAGAAAAATTGGTGAATGTCCGACTAATTTTTGGCTTGGCCAGACATTTGTCCTTCCAAGTATAAAATAATTATTTGCAGGCCTGTATAGAATTGAGTCCCAATCTCATTCTGTACCTCCAAATTAGCCATTCTAAAGTTGATGAGAGGACTGGGGACGAGTGTTAAAAAGTGCCCAAATTAAAGGAATGAACCAAAATTTTGACCACCTCAAAATTATTAAGTATGCAAAGTTTGAAGACATTTACATGAATGCCCTTGGAATAATAAGCTTTCGAAAATCGCATTTACTATGAAATGTACTGCAATTTTTGTTTTGGGGGACGCGCGTCCCAAAAACAGTCTTTTAGTCAGTAATTTCACAATTTTCGAAAGCTTATTATTCGAAGGGTATTCATGTAAACGTCTTCAAATTTTGTATACTTACTAATTTTGAGGTGGTCTAAAAATAGTGATTTGGTGCATTTCTTAATTTGGGCACTTTTTAACACTCGTCCCCAGTCCACTCATCAACTTCGGAATGGCTATATGATGAAAAAAGTAAAATTCTTTGCTACTCTGCACAAGAAAGTTTGGATTTAAGATTTTGAGTTGTTGTAGCAGTTTGTTTGAAGGTGTCTTTCACCTTGCAAAACTATAATTAATACAATATCTTAAATATATAAGAAAGTTTGCATATAATAAGCATGTATTTTGAAAATAATTTATTTCATTTCAGGCTTACTATTTCAGTAAATTCAACAACATAGTCGGAGACTCTGGATTGAAATGAATGCAGAACTTTGTCATTTACAGAACGAAAATCATTCATAAATATGCACTTGGAAACAGAATAGAGCTACAGAAACATTGTGTTTTAATAGTTTTAAATTTTTGCTGCCATTTTTGCTTGTACAATTTTTTTATAAATAATTTGGAATACCTATATATGCATCGTGATTCGATCTTCTAAACGTTCACGAGATGGTATCTCACTTGTCTTAGTAGCACCTATCAATGTTAGGTGGGAGGCAGATCAAGGGCAAGATTTGACAAGTATAAATAAGTTTCATGAGTGGGGAATTTGACGATTAGTATGTGTATCGCATATCATGCTTTACCCTCAAATACTCCGTTTTAATTAATAGTCATACATGATGTTTTTAAAGAACGAGTCAATGTGTAAAGTTCTGTTATGCTTCCTTCACATGTTTCGTTTTAATTAATAGTAATAAACAGTAATAGTCATGAATTAGCTTTCGCCCTTCCTTCGCCCCCAAATCGCCTGGGTCCCAGTCAGAAGGCCTACAATCATAGAATAATTACCATTAATTATTCAGTCGATCAGCATTGTAATATCTATAGAAAGAAAACTATTACAGGCAGCTTTTAAAGTATAGTCGCAGATCGTACATTCATACATAAACGTTACCCTGTCCTCCCCCCGGCTATTTCCTATCGCAAAATGTTGCCGAATACTCGTGATTATTGTATTGTATGGGGGAGGGGGCAAGCACAATGTAAGCCCGAAATATTCTACTTTCTTTTCAAATAATAAACGTTTTCAACTTGTCCCAAAGTAATTGTTCCATGATTGTGGTCTAGGCGTCGTAGAGTGATACATGAGATATAGTAGAATATGAGATACGGGAGGAAGAAATGAAGATGGTAAAATTTAATTGTGTTGGCATATAACAGAATAGCTACCTTCTGCGTTGTAGTGACGCCAGTCTTTTAGCACAACAGGATATTTAAACATATTATATACAACAGATGCCGCCATTGCGCTGGCAAATGGCTGCCAAAGTTTTGTTTTCTCTATACTTCCGTCAGCAAAATCCGACACTGCTTTAATTACAGCCCATTCTATGCCAAGATCATACACAGCAGCATAT